CTTAACTATCAATATTGCACTCCTTGCTTCTTCCTCCCCTCCTGTACAAACAAGCTGTTCGCGGTGCCACAAGCAAAGCTCTGACTGCAGTCCCTCGAAGAAGCAGCCCCCTGAAGTTCCAAACAAGAAAAACATTTTGTGAATGAGACCCCAGCAGATGCCTGTGTTCCTGTTTCATTCTCTTGGCCTACGTGAGGTCACATTCTCTTCCTGTTGTGGTGCGGTCACCTCTGTGAACATACTATTTGTGTAGCTCTTATTCTTGTGGAATTGCCACAGTGACTCTAGATAGTGCTCAAGCTCTGAAACCTTGAACTCAAATTTCTGCAGCTGGCATACTTGCTGCACCTATGGTTGACTGAGGCACTGATAGGAGCCATGACTTCACATATATTACAGGACACACATTCAACTTGACCAAACTTTGAATCATAGAATCTCTACAGTGTGGAAACAGGCCCTTTGGCCCAACAAGCCCACACCGACCCACAGAGCAACCCATCCCTCTATAACCCACCTAAATCTATACATCCCTGGGCACTACGGGCAATTTAGCATGGCCAATCCACCTAGCCTGCATATCTATGGACTGTGGGAGGAAACCGGAGCACCCGGAGGAAATCCACGCAGGCATGGGGAGAATGTGCAAACTCCACACAGACAGTCGCCCGAGGCTGGAATCAAACCCGGGTCCCTAACCACTGAGTGCTAACCACTGAGCCACCATGCCGCCCATGCTTTCATCCCTTTCGTTAACTTTACTTTGGATTACTTGTATTACATTATTATATTAAACCTGACTTTCCCTTATTTCTGGTGTTTCTCAGATAAATCCAAGTGTAGCTTTTTTTTTCTGTATAGCAATTGAAAGACAGTCCTTAATAGTTCAATACCAAACAATGAATTTTTCTGTGTTTTTCTATGATATTTTTTGTTTTATTTCCACTCTTCTCTTTTGAACTCAGCACAGGCTAGCTCCAAGTAACTGAATGGTGTCCCTCTTGGACTGCCAGGCAAGTTCACTAAGGAACTCAAAGTAAATTGTGGCAGCATTCACTTTCATGTGCATGGTGTCAATGGGAACCATGGACAGTAATTGTCAAAGCTCCAATGTTATTTCTATCACGTAGCTGACCAGGAATCTCTCCCATTCTTACCTTCTGTCTTTGGCCTGTATTGGGAGGTTTGGCAGATTTGATACTTAACCTGTTTGGCCACTGTATAAATTCTCTACCATGGCCATCAAGTCCTGGGTGAGACTTGAACACAGATCTCCTGACTCAGGCAAAAATGCTACCCACTGGACCATTAGAATTCTATGTTAACAATATAGATGTATTATAATTCCAGGATTCAAACAATACATTTGCCAGTTTAGAAAACTGTTGCAGCAACAAGCTCTCAGGACTAATTCTTGTAGGCTGCAGTTTCTTTCATTCTGTATGACCCCTCTTGGCTCCCAACCTGCATTTGAACCTGGTGTCAGGTCCCAGACCAAAATGCGAATTCCTGCCCACTGATTGGATTGTCTCTGTCCAATTTTATTTTCAGACAATCAAAACATCTGATAGTTACAACAGTGCCTTATGCCTTCACCTGTATTATCTAACCAAACATTTATCAGAAAAAATACTACGCTTAATTGTTGCTACTAAATTTATTATGTGCAAGATTGTTTCTGTTAAGTGTATAACGAAGATAATTTTCTGTTCAGAGTTTGAGACCTGATGTTTACTATAGGATATGTTAATCATTCAATTATTCATCTGTTGGAAGAAGGTGAGTTAGTAAATATCATACTTGAAGCTCTTTGAGCATGGCAAAGTTATCTAATTTATAGATGTTGAAAAAGTTGTGGAATAAAATATTCACAGTGATTGAGAAGGTGCACATTTACATTTACAACTTCTCCTGGACCCATGTATTCTTGTCCATGGGACTCAACTGGAACAGTTTTGAATATTGAAATTAATTAAGCAATTGAGTCCAATGCAAATGAGATGAATGTCCAGTTTCCATCTGTATTCACATACTTAGGGAGTACCTGAGTGTCTACGACCTCAGTATGTAAGAAAGATGATTGAAGTAGAAAACAAGCCTGAAACTTGTTAATGGGATCATCTTTATATCGCAATCTAATTAAATGTATTCCAGGATTATTTGAGAAGATATGATGTTTTAATTTAATGGATGGGATATAACATTCTGCTTTAAATCAATGCCTCCCTCTACTGGTTGTTAAAATACATTAAATGGGACAAATGGTAATTATTGGGATTATGCAAAAATAAAACTGTCCTAACTATGTCTTAATTTCTTAAAATTTGCACATGTATATGTGACAAACTATTAGAGCATGCGCTGTTTAACTTACTTGAAGAGCATTGTGTTATTGTTGAAGTCATTTTATTTTTCCTTTCAGAGATTTAGGTTAAAGGCCTATTTGTTTTGCTGGCCGTGAAATTTGTGAAGAATACAGTGCAGCAGCTGACATTTCCTTGACTCTGTGAAGCACTCTGAGTAGAAATATACAAGTCATAAATAATTTTTAAAAAGTATATTTAACAAACTGCACCCATAAAGCCAATGAATGATTAACCAATCCATAACACTGTGAACTGTTCTTGCTTTCAGGCTCAAGCTGCAGCTGAGGCCAGAGGCTGAAATAGCAGAGGGTGACTAAGGCAAACAGAAAGCCAAGAAAATTGGAAGTAACATCAAAAAAATTGACGAAGGGGTATTTGAAATACCATAAATGGTTTAGACACTGAGTAAAGAAAATATAAATGTTATGTGTCGATTACAATCCTAACCCTATCACTGAGTAAACCCACCAGGGCACATGCCAATCAGCTTGTTAAGACCAAACCAGCAAGTTTTGATGAGCTTCTCAGCCTATTATAGATCTTAACACTGGCATCCTGGGCTAGCAACGTCTGGTCTGAGGCCTATACCTCAGGAGATCCAGTGGAGAGGAGGCAAATTCTTTTCTTCTTGTCATGGTTTTGGGGTTGTGGAGCAAGGGAGTTGGGTAGGGTGACGTTTGGAGGCAAGGTCAGGAGTTGGCTTTCAGAGGTTACTCCCTCATCCATGCTTCCAAATACCCCCAAGATTAGAGCAATTGGAGGTCCAACCCAATCTGCCAGGCAGCTTACCCAATCAGAAAATAACTACCTTTCTTGCCTGTTCTGAGATCAGGTTATCAAGGAAGTGCTGAATTGAGGCCCTTAAATTGCTTGTTAATTGATCACTTAAGTACTGGCAAGTTGAGAAAATGCCCAACAGATCTTCTTACGTAGAACTTATTTGATAAAGTAGCAAGAAGGGGCTGAGTATCTAGCCAGGGCAAATGTGCTCGAATATTTCTTCTTCTCACCATCTCTCTCACTCTTCCAGAGAGGGGCATGCTCTGGCCAGAGGTTTACATACTTCAAAGAAAGAACTGGCAAATAGAAAACAAACCAAGCTGCAGTATAAATTTCTGCACAACAGCTTATTTTATTTAGGTAGTGATTTTAACATAATGAAACAGGCCAAGATGCTAAGAGAATTTATTACAAGGATTCACAACTAATTAAGGAGTACAAAATGATAATTTATTTCAACACTTCCTATAATGGAATAAATCTATGACTATTGATCACTTTGTCCTCATTTTCACATTGTTCTCCATTTTGTTCCTCTGGGCTTCTCTTTGTACCCCTCCTCTTAACTCTTATTTTATACCTCCCTCTTTTACTGTTCAAACATTTTTTGAGCCTTCCTGAAATCTGGGAAGTGTGGCTTTCCATTATAAAGCAAGTCAAATCAGAATCAACCAGTCTCAAAAATCTGTTTAAATCCATCTCCAGCTAGGTTGCCCAGTTGGCCATCTCTCATCCTACATCAGATTGGGGTGATGGCACAGATTTTTAAATTTTGATTTCTTTCTGGGTCCCAAAACACCCAATTATTTTTGGTTGTAATAGTTTGCTATAGGACTGTTAGATGTTTTAAAAGTGCACATAGAAATTTTTGTCTCTTTTAATGAAACAATTGCTCTGAAGGAAATATCACAGTGAAAATCTTCTGAAATTAAATGGATTCCAGATATTCGGGTTAGGTTGAGAAAATTAATTCAGACAGCAGGTTTAATTCTTGAAGTGGATTTCCTCACTTCATCTATTTCTCTTATCAGGAGCCCATTCATAATCCTTGTAACAAGATCTACACCTCTTTCTCACAGTCACTTATCACAATCAACCACCACAGTCCTGATGTTGTCTTAGAGTGGCTATCTTTCATGAATGCCTGACAATTTTCCATGTCACATTCCATTCCCTGAATGCTGTACGAGCACCATTATGGCCCATAATAACTTCGTATTTCCTAAGCAAAAACGTTGGTGTGTTTATTGTACATATGGAAGGTTTTACACATGATTGCTTTCTAAAGCTACACATCTCCCTGCTAAGAAGTATTCTCCTGCATAATGGTACAGGTTTATTTATGAATTGTTTAATATTGGTTTACATGTCTGGGAGCTCACTTTTAAAGGAATTATCCTCTAACATTTAGTTTCTATGTGGTGTAATAGCAAGTATGCTAAGAACATATCATAAAACACAAATGAGTTCAGTCATTAAAAGAATGAGATATTAACACTGGACACCTTTAGACTATTAGACCATATGATATAGAAGCAGAATTAGGCCATTCATCCCATTGAGTCTGTTCCATTGTTTGACATGGCTGATATGTTTCTCAACCCCATTCACCTGCCTCCTTCTCCCAGTAATCTTAATCCTTTTACTAATCTTAATCCTTTTACTGTCCTAAATGCACTCAATTCCTTGTCCTCCACAGCCGTCACAGCAATGAGTTCCACAGAGTCACCACCCTCAGGACAACATTGACCACAACACCACACATCCCTTCCATGGTAACCTCTGCAAGACATGTCAGATCATCGACATGGACACTACCATCACATGTGGGAACACAACCCACCACGTACACAGCAGATAGTCATGTGACTCAACCAATGTTGTCCATCTCATACGCTGCAGGCAAGGATGCCCTGAGGCATGGTATGTTGGCGAGACCATGCGGATGCTATGGCAATGGATGAATGGACACTGCACAACAATCACTATACAAGAATGTTCCCTCCCAGTTAGGGAACACTCCAGCGATCAAGGACATTCAGCTTCCGATCTTCAGGTAAGCGTCCTCCAAGGCAGACTTCGAGGTACACCACAACACAGAATCACTGAGCAGAAACTGATGGCCAAATTTCCTACCCATGAGGACAGCATCAACCATGATCTTGGGTTCATGTTGCACTACATGTGACCCCGCTACACTGTTCTGTATCTGTAAAATCTTCCTTACTGTCCTGTTTTGACACCATCACCTTGATAAATTGTTATGTTCTCTCTACCTTAATTAGTTTGCACAGTTTTGGAAATTACTTATTACTTGATTAGATTCTTGACATGTGATTCTTATACCTATCATGTTATTCCAGTCATTTAGTTTATCTCCAGTACTACCTTAATTTTAATATTTTGTAATTAACTTTCTGCCTTATTTAAATGGATTATAGTTCATCCCTTTGTTTTTCAGTTGTTGACACTTTACATACACTGTCTAACACTCTTAGTCACCTGCAGAAACTTATTATTTGACACTCCATTCACACCAGTTGTATTATCTTTTGATCTCTCTGTCTATAAATCCTTCTCACACTTCACCTGATGAAGGCGCTGTGCTCCAAAAGCTTGTGATTTCAAATAATCTGGTTGGACTATAACCTGATGTCATCTGACTTCAGAATTTAAATATGAATACTGAATAAAAATTCTCAAAATTCTACAATCTTTTATGCAGTCAGTTGAAGTTAATGATATATTCCCCCATGGAATGACTGAACTTTCTGAAACTTACCAAAGTCTGATTGTGCATCATAGGTGTCCTACAGAACATCTTTCAGGTAAATTTCATCCATAAAAACTAATAGCAAAGCCAAACCTTCCACAATATCATCAATCAGAGAGATCTTTAGCATAAAAAGAGGCCCTTTGGTTCATCAAGTTTGTGCTAGTGAAAAAGCAGAAACCTAACTATTCTAATTTCATTTCTAACACTTGGCCCATTGCCTTTAATACCTTCTATATGAGTAAGTACCCCATTTCTACTTTCATTCACCACACCAGCCAACATTAAGGAGCTTACTCCAACTGCCCAAATAAAATTTGCATGTAAACCAGTAGGTATCAATTTAAGGCAAGTCCGTCAACAAATCAATGTTCTCTGCCATCCAATATCCTTTCTTTGTTAGAAAATTAGATGTTGGTTTATTTTCCCCTTGGTTCATTCATATTTCAGTGAGCGGGCATTAGGACCCAGGAGTATTATTAGTTGGATTCCGATTGCAAAGTTGTTTGATTCTAAATTCCAATGTATATGTTTAAACCTAAACTTTGACAGAAATTTTGTGCTCACACACAAGATGAGACTTGCAAGAGGACTATCGATATTATTTTTCTGTATCAGTACATGCTCAGGAGAGGACACAGGTTAGACGAAAATTTACTTTTGTTAAGCTCTGATATTATATCATAAAATAAGATCAATGAGTGACCAATAACTTGTATCTGATCCAAATGATAAAGATTGACCATGTTTGTATCTTTCATAAGTACAAATGCTTAAGGCAAAATAACGTTTCTCACAGTGTGCACAGGGCAGACATTGAATGTGCTGATTAGTGGAACTGCTAAGTTTATGTGTTTGAAAGAAACTATACATACCAAAACAAAATGGGCATTGTGAATTCTGTAATAAACTGTCATTAGTTGCTGTGGTGTTTTGAAACCATTGGCAACACTCCATCAGAATGTTGTTTCTGATTTCTTAACGTTGCACAGCTCATGCTATTGTTTAAACATTCTGATTGCTGTAATCAATGGTCAATTGTGATTTGAAAGAGAGGGAGAGGGAGTAAGATAGACATAAAATAGGTGTAACCAAATGAAGATGTGTCGAAAACAGTGCCAGCACGGATTTTAACAAAGGCAAAAATCAGCTAAAATAATATCACCTCACACAATACCCTGTTTCAAATAATTCTTTCCCTGAAATTTAGAAATTTGAAACTCCTTACCTTCCTCAATCTTCCTTTGTCCCTGCAAGTTTTAAAAAAACAAAATTGAAATTGCCTTCAATGAACAATGTAATAAACAAAATAATTAATCTTCCTTTTCACTCTCTTGATAGCTGCATGCAGTTTTGGATCACAGTTTGAGAGGAGTTAGTTAGAGCTAGGAAGAGTGAAACACATGCAGAGATGCATTAGGTGATAGAATTATTTTGACAATGTAAGAGTAAGATTAGAGCCAAGTATGAATGGCATGTATTGTAGTATTTAGTCATAACATGTAACAAAAAGTGCTGTAAAGAAGAATAACCTGAAAACAGTTCTTGACCTTGCCTCCTCCTTGACTATTCTATATTGAACCCAAGTTGTTAGATGAGGACATAAAAACCACAGGACAAACCTATGCATCAATGGTGGACTACATGAACTCAGAAAACTACCTTAGTTTCTCTAGTTTATTAGCATGTTTAATAAACAATATCACAAAATATTAATGTTAAGGTTCACAAAAAGCTTTTAGAATTGTATATGTGTTACAGGACAATCTGAGTTCCGTTGCAAATTAAGAAGCCTTAAATTATAATGTGGAGTATTAGCAGATAAGCATTTAACAATTAATGTATTTTTCTTTTCTCTTGGCTGTTTTCCAGAGGCATTTTATTTGCACAAATTAATGTCAATACTAACACCTGTACACAAATATCTCACAGAATAATTCTGGGGCCAAGGAGGCACATGAAATAAACTCTACATTTTAGAAGGAGGAAGAAAATCTCATTCAAATATTTCACAACTCCCCAATATTTAAAACCTATTGCAAGGAAAATTTTTGGTTTGCACCTTCTACTGTTATATTGTTATCATTGTTGTAAACTCCAGTTCCAAGGCATTTCAGGAGCAAATATCTTTGGTTTTCACTGGAATATTTAAAGTAACAAACCAATATTTGAATAGAAGAACTTTTTTGCTATTTAAATATAAGGGTACTCGAGTGAAGAAACCTTTAAAGAATTCTATCTCCTCGTGAAATTTCTTTATCCAGTCATAGAGATGTACAGCACAGAAACAGACCCTTCAGTCCAACTCATCCATGCCGACCAGACATTCTACGCTAATCTAGTCTAATTTGCCAGCATTTGGCCAACATCCCTGTAAACCCTTACTATTAATTTATCCATCCAGATGCCTCTTAATATTGTACTTGCACCAGTCTCCATCATCTCCTCTGGCAGTTTATTCCATGCACATCCATCCTTCATGTGAAAAAAGCTTGTCCCACTGTTCCCTTTTATATCTTTCTCCTCTCACCATATACTTAGGCTCTCTAGTTTTGGATTCCCCTACCCTGGGGAAAAGGCCTTGACTATTCACCCTATCAACATCTCTCATGATTTTATAAACTTCTGTAAGGTCAGCCCTCAGCCTCCAAAGCTCCAGGGAAAATAGCCCCAGCCTATTCAGCCTCTCCCTATAGCTCAAACCCTCCAACCCTGGCAACATTCTTGTAAATCTTTCCTGAACCCTTTCAAATTTCACAACATCTTTCCTAAAGCAGAAAGACCATAATTGAATGCAGTATTCCAAAAGTGGCCTAACCAATGTCCTATACAGGATGCAACATGACCTCACAATTCCTATACTCAATGCACTGACCAATAAAGACAAGCATACCAAATGCTTTCTTCACTATCTTGTCTACCTGTGACTCTGCTTTCAAGGAACAATGAACCTGTATCCCAAAGTCTTTTTGTTCGGCAACACTGCCCATGAGCTTATCAATAAGTTTATAAGTCCTGCCCTGATTTGCCCTACCAAAATGCAGTCTAATTGACATCTTAAGACATTCCCATTCACTGCCAGGACTGTAGCTTGTCTTTGCAAGAAACAAGACATTACATTCCATACATTAAATGAAGAATCCCTTATTTGTTTTTGAGTTGGAAGCAGGGGACTGGAGAAGGAACAAAACTCGGGGGTGGATGCTCTCTGCTGCAGCATGAGAAGCAATATGGGAAAATGTGGTAAGAATGGAAAACAAAATCAAACAAATTGTCAAGTATGAAAGGCAAAGGAGCGCAGTCCTTAGTGGAGTGAAGAGACTCCATATTCTTTCAGGGAGTTATGCCACAATCTGATTTGTCTGATTCCATTTGAGGTTGTTGGTCATGCTCAGTTAAGTATCTAGTCTTGAACTCCATATCCTTGCAGTTCAGGGATTGGTCAATGGTCAGTCCTGCAGGACAAGTGCATTCCAATGGTTGATTTGAGTTAGGTCAGTCACAGTCTTGCTGAGACATCAGTTCAGGGGGTGGGACAAGTTTTTTTCCAATTATGATAGAATAATGGAAGTGAATGGAAGAGCAGTTCATGGTGATGCATAAGCAGGAGAGGTGATGAGGTATCCCAGGAGGGCAGGAATGGTTTATAGTTTAGGAGGACATGGAGTGGAAATGATGTATGCAATATTGAAAGTTCTGGTCCATGAGCTTTAATGAAATGCATGTGCGATGGCTGCATTAGAGTCAGTGATGGCCTTGTGCGTGCGAGGTAGCAGAAAGATGTTGACAGTTACCCTGCAGAATGCAGCAAAATATTGAGATTTGCCTGGTACTGCTGGGGGTCCTGCTTCACTCAGGACACAGCACTGACCCGGGCTGCAATTTGTGCCCACGCTGGCTGGATCTGCTGGTCTGGCGTCCTTTGCCAGTCAGCTGGAAATAGATGGCCATCCTCTCCATCATTCTATCCTCAAAGATCTCCAGGTCGCTGCCTTTGAAGTGGGGAACAGATTTCCCTTTCCTTTAGAGCGTGCCCTGGAAGTTGAGCCTCAAGCAACACAGTGTGAAGACAAGTCCTTGGCTTGTAGAGTCTGAAGTGGTATATCACTGAACTTCAAATATGGTGTCAATGCATGAAATCCAGAAGGTCCCACAGTGTCAAGTGCTTCCATCTGTCCAATCATATAACTCACCAAAGGAAGGTACCCAAGAGCTCGAATGCAAATAACTGAAGTGAACAGTGAAAGATTGCATGAGAAAAGTCACTCCATGCATGATGGATCAAGCTCCAAGAACATTATTTGTAAAAACACTTTAACTGTAAATGGGAAAATTCAGCCCCGAGAGTCTGAATGGCTCAAACTGACTGATGCAGTAGGTCATGGTGCTGGCGGGTGCCTGTGTTAAAGGGAGACACTAATGTTGTGCAGGCCTCAAGCAGGACATAAAAAGTGCCCACCTTGGAGACAGGAACTGCAAGATCTCAAGTGCAAATGTACCATAGCACCACCTGCTGTGAAGACTGAGGGTTAAAGAACTCAGTCCAAGATAACTATGTCAGGTAACACTTAGGTATAGGGTCATAGAATCATACGGCACGGAAACAGACCCTTTGGTCCAACTAGTCCATGCCAACCAGGTTTTCCAAAATAAACTGCATTTGGCCTATATCCCTTTAAACCTTTCCTATGCATGAACCTGTCCAAACATCTTTTAAACGTTGTAACTGCACCTGAAGCTATCACTTTCTCTGGCATCTCATTCAATATATGCACCACCCTTTGTGGGAAAAGGTTGCCTCTCAGATCCCTTTTAAATTTTTCCCCTCTCACCTTAAAATGATGCCCTTCTGTTTTGAATTTCCTACCCTAAAGTGAAGGCCTTTGGTGTTCGCTTTATCTATTCCCGTCATGATTTTATATACCTCTTTAAAGTCACCCCACAACATCCTATGTTCTAGGGAAAAAAAGTCCGAACCTTTCCAGCCTCTCCTTTAACACAAACTCTCTAATTTCAGTAACATCCTTGTGAATCGTTTCTGCACTTTTCTATTTTAATAGTATTCTTCCTCTAACAGGGTGACCACTACTCCAAAAGTGGCCTCACCAGTATCCTGTACAGCCACAACATGACATTCCAACTCCTATACTCAGTGCTCTGACCAATGAAGGCAAGCATGCCAAATGCCTTCTTCATCAACATGTTTATGTGTGATGCCACCTAAATCTTATTATTTAAAGAATAACACTTAATGACAGAGTTGGTGGTTAGCTCAGTTAGCTCTACAGCCAGTCTCTGATGCAAAATAACACAAACAGCATGAGTTTAATTCCCACACCAGCTGAGGTCACCATGAAAGACTTTCCTTCTCAACCTCACCTCACGTGAGGCATGGTAGGTTTCAGGTTCAACACAACCAATCATATCTCTCTAATGAGAGAGCAGGCCTATGATCAGGTGTGACTTTATCTTTCAGTATTTAAAGTAATAATTTGATGTAAATATACATGACAAGAAACCAGGACACTCAGCTTGTGCTGCCAAAGCAATACTTTATTTTATTAACTGTGCAGATGGTCTGGTAGTCTTGAAAATATTTTAATCCCTATACAGAACTTTGAAATTATTGAAACATTTTTTTGTTTTCATTTCATCATTTCTAATTCATAAACAGTTATTCGCTTAGCTCAATTTGGAATGAAGTTTATCACTTTATACTGCTACCCATGGCATACTTTGTATGCACCAAAAGTATTCTTAAAAGCTGGATATCGGTTCTCTCTTTCATTAATTAATGGAAATATACAATTCTGTTCTTTTAGCTGCTGATGACATAGGAATTCACCAAATGACTCGAATATCAGAACTGCTCACCTCTGTTGAATGTGACCTTCTTCACAAAAAGCTTACCCACCCTGAGAAAGACATTATGAAGGAAATTGACCAAATGTCAGAGGAAAATGACAATTTATTCAAGACCCGGAAACGCAGAGAAATCAGTAGGTAAACCGACCTAACTGTCCTGATAATAGTACATTGTGTATGATCAAGCATTACCTAAAATATGTTCATCCTGTTGTAATCAAAACCTGAATTGTGAAATAATCAAGCTTTGACTAGTCTAAGGTTGAATAGCCAGTGTGGACTTTGGGTAGCTATTGGCCAGAGGGCAATAATTTGGGCAGGTAGTGGGTGGAGGGCACTACCTACTCCCTCTTTGTCCCAGAGAGGCCTAAAACCATCTGAATGGTGCAAAATGGAGCCATGTTAACAGTTTCCAGTTTATTTCCCACCAATTGAGGAGGTTTAAAATTGCTCCTTGAGAATCAAGTTCAACCCTGCAGGTTGAAAGAAAGCTGTGGTTTAATAAGTTATGCCTGCTTAACATACTCTGACAAAAACTAATGATGTGACAATTCTCCTTGAACATCCAAGGTTTGCTATATTGACTAGGCCACAGTGATACTGCAAGATTAATCTGAAGTAAGTAGCTGTGTGCAGCAAAGCAAACCAGATTTATAACCTAGATTCAACCTGGCTGCAAATCTCAATCTGTTATATGAGCAATTCTCACCACTGACCATAATGGGATGACGTTATTGTTCAGCATGCAGTAGGTTTGTTGCCATCGTCCTCTTTTCAGGAAAGAGAATCTTGTCTAGTCTAATGCAAGGAAGTTCTTGTTTTAAACAAGAAGGAACTTATTGCATATTAGTGACTGAGTACAAGTTACACTGGTATGATAGACATTGTTGCAAAGAACTGGAACTGGAGGGTAGGCCTTACTACTTCATGATCCTACCATGTCTGTCGGACATCCTGATTGTGGCTGATGTTTAAGGTACTTCTTAGTATTAACCCTTTCAGACCTGTACAATTTCATATAACACCTACAAGGAGAGATCTGTGTCTACATGTAAGCATAAGCACAGAGCTCCATTTCTCACGTGGGAATTTTGTAATATTTGAATAGAACCTATGGGAGTGACTTTGATTTCCTATTATAATAAGAAGACTACAATAAATTTGTAAAGTGGCAGGGAGGTCCTGTGTTTATTCAATGGTTTCACATCACACTGATATTATTTTGCACATTTTTCTGAGTTGCATTATGTCTTGCTGGAGGCAGTCTCACGCCATTTCATTCCAAAGTGTTCAGGAACAGGCTGAACTAGGAACAAAAACAAAGTTGCTGGAAAAGCTCAGCAGGTCTGGCAGCATCTGTGAAGGAGAAAACAGAGTTAACGTTTCGGGTCCGGTGATCCTTCCTCAGAACTGATGGTGGCTGGGAACACATCAGTTTATATGCAGAAAATCGGGAGGTGGGTGGGCTAGGGAGTAAACGATAGGATAGAGCCCAAAGTGAGAGAACGACAGTTGGACAGACAAAGGAGTTGCTAACGATCAGGCTGGGAGGGTGAATAGTTGTTAATGGGGACTGTTAGTGACTAACAACAGCGGGTGTGTAATGGCAGGAATTAGGTTGTCCATTGTACATCACTGCACACCCAAAACTGCTCTCTACAGACAATGAAGTGGCAATATTGCCACCAACAAGAAAAAAATCTTATCTGTAAAGAAATGTTTCTAAAATACGAAATGCAAACTTTAAGATAGTAAAACACATTTTCTTTTCCTTTCTCCATTATTTATTTATCACTATTTTCCAGTTAATATTGAAGACTGTACTGAAATTCTGATTGACTGGTTGAAGAATGAAGGTGACAGCATGTACTGGGATCGACTGTCTCGAGCACTGAGACAGATTGGTCGGGAAGACGTTGATAAAGGTATTCTCCTCCTTATTGGGCTTTAATGAATACACTGATTTGATACAAAAAAACAAAATTTCAGGAGCAACCCAGCAGGCCTGGCAACATCTATGGGATAAAAACAGAGTTAACATTTCTATTTTGTTGACTCTTCATCAGAAGTGATCTGATAATCCGATTTCATAGTGATAGAAAGTAATTTGGTTCTTTTTGATTCTTAAAACTAAAAAGATGCCAACTTTGTGATATATTATGAAAGTTTCTGAAATGATAGAATCAAGATGAATAAATCAAATCGGTATTTTTCACTATATGTTACCCCACTTCTTCTGACTTGGGCATATCTATATAGAAATACAGATCAGGATTAGAAACCCTATTTCAAACAAGAAAAAAGTACCTAAGTTTACACTGGAGTGTAGTATGTTGAGGGGCGACTTTATTGAGGTTTATAAACTCATGAGGGGCATAGATAAGGTGAATAGCAAGGATCTTTTCCTTAAGGTGGGGGAGTTCAAAACTGGGAGCATATTTTTAAGGTAAGAGAAGAAAGATTTAAAAAGGACACAAGACTTTTTTTTGACATAGAGAGTGGTTTGTGTGTGGAATGAACTCCAGTGGTGGATGCAGTTACAACATTTAAAAGGCATTTGGATAAGTTCATGAATAGAAAGGTTTGGAGGGATATGGGCCAAGGGCAGGCAGGTGGGATTAATTTAGTTTGGGAACATGGTTGGCTTGGACTGGTTGGACGAAAGGGGACTCTATGATGATGACGTCACATTTCCTCTGAAAATTCCTGAGCAAGAATCTCTTATTATGGAAAAGCAGTGATTATTCCTCGGATCCTCAAAGCTAACAGCTGAGAAGATCATTGTTAAAACCATATTTAGAACAGTAAGTGTGCCAATGCCTGTTTAAATGTCAACAGCAAAGCCAACTGTTTTGACAGCTACTGTGAAAAGGTAAGTATGTAAGGTGAGTGTGGGGGTCAGATGACAGATGGGGTCAGGGGGGAGATAGGGATGCAGCCAGATGGATGAGGGCGTAACGTGGCAGGCTGAGGATTGGGTAGATAGGATGCTAAGTGGATGGGTAGTAAGATGTGTAAGAGAATAATGTACCAAGTGAATGAGACAGTAGGGTGTCAGCTAAGTAGACGAGTGTTCAGTTCATTTATGGTGGCATGGTGGCTCCATGGTTAGCACTCTTGCCTCACACCACCAGGGACCTGAGTTCAATTCCACCATCAGGGTGACTGTCAGCGTGGAGTTTGTCCAAACTCAGTTCTATGGAAGGGTGACTCAACCCAAAATGTTAGCTCTGATTTCTTACCACAGCTGCTGCTAGACCTGGTGTGCTTTTCCAGCGATTTCTGTAATGAATTGCTGCATACGTTTTGGTGAAAATTTGACTTAAAAATAAATACTTTTGGGTTACGTATGGTGAATCCTAACTATTCAGCAGCAGCTGTAGAAAAACAGACATTTTGAGTCCGTACAGCAAACTCAAAACATTGACTCTATTTCTCTTTCCACAGATGCTACCAGACCTGCTGATTTTCTCCAGCAATTTTCTGTTTTGTTCCAGATTTTCAGCAGCTACAGTATTTTATTTTTTGTATAAGTCCTAAGTATTGGTTTTCTAGACATATCCCCAGTACTTCTGATTGTTTTGCTGGGTGGCTTGGGTGATAGAGCAGGTGTTACTTTCTAAACAATTCACTCACCGAACTTATTAATGCATCCTTTTGATCACTCAGGGGATACAGGACAACTTAAAACCCTTCTCTTTGCTGAGGAGGCACATTTGTTGAAATTAGCATGGGTAATGATTTTCCTTGAGGAAAGCCCCAGTTAGTGTTAAGCATCAGTCAACCACGTAAAAATGAAAAAAAGAAATGTATGGGTGACTACTTAAAGTATATTTTTAAATAGTTAAAAATTGGTTTTATGTTGCACGTGTGTGCACATGCACATTAAAAAAAAGTTGGAGATTGCATGCACAGTTGGAATTTGTTGATTGATGTTTGGTGTCAGCAGACATTCTTCAAAAGAAAATCTAAGTTTCAAGAGATAAGCATTTGTCTTTCATGGCACATAACCAATGCTCAGGCTCCTGTTCAATTCAAATTACATGTAAATAAGCCAATGCCTGACTAAAAGCAATGCACTACAATCAGAATATTTATCCTTCTAGATTATCTTGCCTAATTTTAATATCCTTATGTATTGGTGCATTAGCATGATGGAGTAGTTCCAAATTTTAAAACATGGAATTAGATTGCTTCACTTGATAGGACAAATTCAGTGATTTCATTCTCCAGGGAGAGCAGGTCAGTGAATTACTGCCACACCATTAGTGCCCTGTTTCAACCTGCACACTTTGATGTCATTCTCCTTTGGAAGCATGGGATCAATCAATTAATCCTCATATGAATGTATCTCTTTAAATCTAAGTGCAAACACATATAGTAGAATTTTCTCTGTTTCAGTT